AGATTCATTGGAAAGCATCCTCTTAGGCTTGGAAAATTGCTCTCAAGCCACTGACTCCAATCCCAGGCAAAAAAAAAAAATCCATTTATAATTCCCCTCTCTGATTAAGCTTCATTTTACAGCTAATATTCATTTTGGTGACTGGTAACATAAAAAGGCAAAGAATGTAGCAGAGAAGCAATAGGCAATATTGTATCAGGCACTATTTGAGACACGGACACAAAAGTTCCAGAATATTTTTAAAATCTTATTTTTTCCCAGTGGTTTGAAGAATTACAAGTAAACCAAAATCTGCTACAGTGATTGCCAAGGTACCTTACTGGCTTCTTCAGGTGCTACTGTTTACAAATGAGAGGGAAAAGTTGGCATGAGGTTTAGAGATTAATTGAAAGGGGGATATATGAGAAGAGCAGGGCAATTGAACTCTGCTATGTGGAGCCTAGAAAGAGGTAGAAGTGAAAGAGAAAGCTAATATCTTTAGCTTTCATGGGCAACTATGCCTAAGAAATATTTCAAAAATTAAAAAGCAAACAGGAGAAAATATATTACAATATTTTTATTCTATTTATACATGGGAAAGCCTTTTCTGCCTAAACACTTGCCCTTGTTTAAATCAGTGAATTATACCAGGCTTTTCCCTTGCCCACAAAGCTGTACTCTGTATTTTATACTGTGCCATTTTTCTGCTTCTGATTCACAATGTGACCCAATAAACTCACTGCTCACTGGTGCCATAAAACTTCTGCGAGTAGTTTGCAACGTACTCTTTTTGATTAATGGCATAAATGAGAAAATTCATTTGGATTCCTCTGGTAGACTCAGTACTCTGCAGGGGAATTTCACTGCCTAAAGGGCATGTTCAAACCTATGCCTAACCTTGCAAGGTTTCTCAGCAGCAGCTTTGCCAAAGGAAATCGGAAATAAATATTTGTATGTTAAAATATATTTTCAAAGTGGATATGAACAGCCCTTAAAAGTTTCTTGACCTCCTAGATGGAAAACAGGAGATTCATATGTACCTTGTGAAAAATTAGCAGACATGTACCCTATTTCCATAGACAACCAATGACAGAAGGTGATAAAATCAATCAAAGAGAACAATGCGTCCTAATGAACCAGTTTTACATTTCATTAACTTGAGTGCCAAGGTAGTTCTTAATGACTGATTTACTTTCTTTCTTCATGAAGAATGCAGTAATTAGGAAAATAAGGTCTAACAGCATAATACGGCTTGAGCCTGCAATGCAGTTTGTGTCTGAAGGTGACGAGAAACATGAGGGCTCAGCAGCTCCTTGGACTGAGGACTCCTTGTGGCCCTTGCAGGTGCACACAGCACAGATGGATGCCATGCCAGGCTCCAACCTGGCCGTGCCAAGGCATATCACTCCTGGCTACTAAAGCCTCTGACATCTGAACTGTCACTGGTGATGTGCAATTTTGTGATGTGCCCAGCACAGTGCTGAAGAGGAGACCAATTTTATGCTGACATCATGCTCTAAGCACTAATTCAAAGATTAATTGGGTAGGAACTAATTCCTGTTAGTCCTGGATTATTTTTACTGCCCTTGATGTCACTTGCCTTAATTCAACTTCTGCTAATTAATTTCCATCGAGTTTAATTCTCAGTCAAAATGAGAATAGGAATACAGCTTCCTTTGGAAACACAGGAATGCAACATGAAACAGCCACAGCTTAATATATACAGAAAACAAAGGTTCTCTGATGCAGAGGGTTTTCTTAAAGAAGAATAGCTATGGCACATAGGGACACTCATATACATATATATATATATATAATTCTGTTGGTCTTAACCTTGAAGCTTAGGGAAATCTGAAATTAGACTTGAATTTTGCAGCTAGCAATAAATTGTTATTGAAGGCTAAACCACTTGATCCTAAGTCACCTAGGTTTTTATTTTTTACTGTATCCAAGCTTTTGGGTCAATTCTCGACCTGTTCTGAAGCTCTCTGTGTACATGTGTACAAGAAGGTATGTGTACACGCACACATACATATTTACCAGACTTGTCCAGCTTTTTCACTCACTAAAGTCAGTGAGATATTTAAAAATTCAGAGCCTGAACAACTAGATACAACCCCTCCCCCCACCTGAATGCTATATTGAAATCTTTTGAGAAGACAGAGCTTTATTCCCTGCAAATGCTTCCTGTGGGATTTACCATAAAATGAAACTGGTAAACTACCCAGTATAAGTGTCATATAACTTGCATTTCCTTCATTAAGCTATTTTCATCTTGCATTTTTATTTTTTATTAAAACTATTAAGGCAATATTAAAACTACATTAAAACTTATTATGGTTTTCTTTATTTCTCCATATTCTGTAATTTCAAAGCATTAGATACCTGCGTGTTAAAGTTAGAATTGCTTTTGCTACATGTAGAAGCTGTTTCCAAACCAAAGAGGAGGATTTGGGCTCCTTATGGACCCCAAAATCCAGTGAATTTTAGCTGGTATCTTGGGATTAAATGAAAAGTGCAGCCAGACACCCTACTGGTGCTGCCTGCAGGGCTAACTACCCTGATCCAGCTGCTGAGGGAGCAGGGGCAGCATATGGCTGGGGTGGAAACAGGGACAGAACTGCTTCTTTCAGAAAATATTTCCATTAAGATCACCTTATCTACAATATCTCATTACATCTTTAAGGTGTGGACATTTGATACAGTTCTGCTTCCAACACCCCAGAGAACCCAGCCCTGCAATGTGCCTCCCTGCACCAGCCTGGGGGCATCCTCAGGGCTTGCTGACCTCTCTGAAAGTAATCCTGACAAGAAACAGCTCTACTCTTCTCTACCCTGTTAGCAAGTTGAGAAAGCTCCCTGGGCAGCAAGGAATATCTTTCACTGGGGAAAGGGACTGGACTAGGCAGGCAACACAAAGAGAAAAACAGGGAGGTGGCAGTGGAGGAGGAGGAAAGAACATGATTGGTTTTTTTCAGCAGCAATTAGAGAAGGTCAGCTGTGACACCTAACCTGGTCTGAAATCTCTGTATTTTTTTCTTGGCTTAAAGTCAGGTGTAATTAGATTAGTTTTCAGAACTATTGTTGAAACACCAATATATGCAGAATTTCACAGACATTTAATAAAAATGCATAATATCCTTTGGGGATTGCTGACACACAGAGAAGTCAAGATCCACACTTTAAAATACATGTGGGTTCAGTAGTGCCTAAACTATTACCTAGATAGCTTAGGACCAGTAGTAGGGATTTTTCTTGACTTTCCCCACCACCCACATCCCTCTTCCATGTGAGACATATCTCGGGATTGTTCCAGACATCACTATGGCAGATCTGCAATTTCATCTCCTAGGTGGCAGCAGTCACTGATGAAGGCTGGCAGTGTTCAAGCCTAGCTGGTACTTCTGCAGAGAAATGGCTGAGCAAAATTCTCCCTCATCCACTTATTGTCCTAGAATTTGGAAATTTCTTCCAAAGAACACTCCAAGCTGGTCAGAGACAGTTTCTGAAAGCATTTTCTATCAGACTGAGAAACAGGATTAAAATATTTTTGTTCCTAGCTGCCTCCTTGGCCTTTGCTGCTTGCCACATTCCCAAGAAACAGCCTGTGTCACCCGTGCCTCAAAAGTAAGCCTCTCAGTAAAAGTATGAGGGGAAAGAAAAAGAAAATTTGAAAAGGCAGCCACAGCAGGTGAAAAAATGAGACGGTGGAGAAATCGAGCAAAACACACTGATGGAAGATGTGGCTAATGATAATGATTCTGCTTCTGAGACTTTGAAGATGAAAGTATTTTTGCTCTTCTTGCATCTCCCTCCCCACTGACAGTCTCTAGAAAGGAAAGCTGGAATATGTCCAGCAGTATTTTTATCTTTCTTTTTCTTTTCTGCCACAGTCTGCCATCTACTTCGAAGCTCCATTTCAAGTCCTGCTCTGCCAGGTAGAGGAGAACTGCACTGATCATGAAAAAGTTGTGGGTACCAATAAGTTTGCTGCACCTGTGTTCTTCCCTTGTGCTGGGAGATAAAATTTGATCATGTCAATAGAGACAGCTTTCTTTTCAAAGACTTGTCAAGGAATTATTTCTCATTTAAGTTAGACATGATGCTAAGAACATACATCACTGAACCAAGCTCTCTGAACAGAGACAGTAAACATCTGCACCTGGAGTGAGGAAAGGATGCCAAGATCTTCCTTGCTGCACGGGAGCAAACACCTGAATCTTCGGCCCCTCAGAAACATTAACGAAGCCAAATATATCAGAGGCTGTCCCGTGGAGCTGACCACACAATAACAGGAACAGGTGCCAGGGAGACAACGAGAGGGCCGGAAGACTATCTATCGACCCAGTATCTCGGACCCAGTACACCCTGCCTGTTTTGGCAGCGTATCCATCGCGGCCGCTCGGCCGGCGTTGTCCGTCGGCCGCCGAGGGACGCAGGACAATCTGCACCCCGCCACTGGGGGCTGGGGGGGCTGCTGCGGAGCCAAGGGGCGACCCACCATGGGGGCGATGCAGACTGAGTACTGAAAGGGCATCTGAGTGGCTACTCTCTCTTCTGGAAAAGTTAACTCTAGAATAAATGACAACTTTTTATTCCTTTCCCGATTTGTCGGGAGACGAAGCCTTCACCAGAGGGACCTGTCCGTCTCCAGGCTGCCTCTTTCAAAGTACAGAGCAGCCGCCTGGATGGCAAAGGGTTCCCACAGCAGCATCCATCACCCTTCAAACTCCTTTTATTCTCGGGTGAGAAACTCGGAGGGGAGAGGCGGGGGGCGCGGGCAGCAGCCGCCAAGTGGCTGCAGGGGCCGCTTGGCACAGGGGAGCGCAGACAAAAGCCGGCGGAACTACGTGGCTTAAATTCAAAAGGGGCGCTCTGGGCTCCGCCGGGGCAGCCCGGCTGGGGGCGGCGGGAGAGGGACGGGAGTGCGGGGGGCGCAGCGCGGCTCCCCCGGCCCCGCCGCCGCTCGCTCGGGGCCGCCGCTGCTGAAGCGGCCGCCCCAGCCCAGCCCCGGAGCGGCGATGAGGGGCATCCCGGGCTTAAAGCGGCTGCGGCTTAAAATCTGCCGGCGATGCGCCCTGCTGCTGCTCCTCCTTTGGGCTGCCTGCTGGGTGGTGGTGAGCGCTGCGCTGTTCCTCCTCCACAGGAGCGTCTTCTCCGAGCGCTGCACGGACGAGAAAAGCCACCGGATCCTGGCCAGGCTGGTACGTGTCCCGGCGGGACGCGGGGCATCTCCCGGGGGCTGCCCGGCAGGACGAGACGCTGTCGGTCCGTCGGGGCTGCTCTCCGGGGCGCCCTGTCCGGCTCCGGCCGCCGGAGGTGCACCATCGCCGGCGCCCCTCCGTGCGCACGGGCGGGCGGCTGCTTCCCTACCTCCTTTTCTCCTTGCCTCCCTCTCTCCTTCCCTCCCTTCCTGCCTCCCTTCCCGGGGCGAGGTCAGGTGCAGGCGGCGGGCCAGCTCCCGGGAGTGGGATGCGGGTGCGCTGCCCAAGCCGAGCGCTCCGAAGCGGAGGAAAACCTTCCTCGGGGTGTTGGGGGTTTTTGTTTGTTTGTAGCCAAAAAGATGTTTGTTCAAAAGTCGTCTTTCAGAAGTGCCAGGCAGCCTGTATCGCCTCCTTTATGGTCTGGTGGGGGCTGGCGTAAGATGTGGTTAAAATTCAGGAAAGGATTTGCAAATATTGATTAAAATTTCCCTTAAAATTAATAATGAAGAGATTTAGGATTGTGTAGGAAACACTTGGAGAAGAGGAGCAGAGTGGGTTAATGCTTTTAGTTCAATTTGGTTTCTTAGTCAGGGTATCTGTAGTGACAGTGGTTAGGTGGGAAAGGAGGAGTTGTAGTGGGAATTAAATAATCTATAACTGCAAGCAAGCAAAAAAACTGATCATAGATTTTCCTTAATTCTGTATAATTAAGGAAAAGCAAGTGCAGGCAGTGGTCCTGACAGCATGTTTTTAATGGCAGTGAGATCCAGTTTCTTTACCTCAGGAGCCAGACTGAAGTAGGGCTGAGCTCAGGCTTGCAGCTAAAGGAATGATTCCTGCCTCGTCCTTACGTGCTTGGGAAGAACACTGAGATATGGAGGTGCATGGAGCTGCCAAGCTCAGGGAGGTCCAGGTCCTTGCCATCGCAGTCACCAATAAACAGATGGACAGAGACCTGTTGCTGTTCTGTTTGGAAAGCGTCAGGCAAGGTTTCAAAAGTCCAGGGATCAGATTTCAGTCACAAACTTGGAAAGTTGTCTCTATCACTGAGACAGCTCAGGTTCAGACCCTCCTTCCAGAGGAGGAATAGCTTAGATTGTTGTGCTTGTCTGCAAGTTGGTGAATAATAAACAGCTTTCTCAGATGACGTTAGAAAGGGATTGCCCTTCTAGTGGAATAATTAGAAAACAAGCTCTTCATCCGCCCCAAAATAAGTCATCCTACATCTGAACATAGCATGAGTTTCACAGTTACAGAAAGTGCAACTGAGCCATGAAACAAATAACCTGACAGCTTGAGTCTCACACCTTCTATTAAGCAAAAAATCAGCTTCTAAGAAAACCTATTTAATACTAGTCATCTCTCAGTAGGAGACGAGATATTTTAAGGAAGTGGGTGAAAATGCCCTTGCAAGTGGCATTTCTGAAGGTTTTATTTCCCTTTTCTTACACCTGTGCAGATGTGTACTGCACTGAGAAGGCTGAAATAGCACTGGGCAATTTGCAGGGACCAACTTTAATTCTCAAAAAAACCCTCCTGCTCTTTCCTAATGCCAGTCTCATCTTCATTTACACTGAACACACTAAATCATAGCAATCAATTTCTATTCCCTCTGGAGAAATCAATTAATTTTGATGCCTTCTAAACCTGGCTCTGTATTGCGTTTACATAGAAATAGTAACATCAGTTTCAGGTCACTGATGTTGGTACAGTGAGTTATTTAAATTTATATAAATCCTTATCAAGGTTTACATTAATTTAAGCTTTCACATTAATTTAAACCCAGCTTTTTTAACTTATCTTAATAAGAGCACTGAAGACATTAAAAATTATGTAGCCAATTTTAATAAGATACATATGAGTGAGTCTGAACCATGCTTGTGTTTGCATTTTTGTGTAGTACAGCTGCTCCTTTATAAGGCTTTTGGCTTAGTAGCACTTTCATATTTTAGTTTTAAGAATCTGGCACTTAAAGAAGAACCTGTGGCTTTCAAAGGTCTGTCACTAGGTCGATTTAAAACTGTCTCATCAACAGATCTCAAAATTCAGTCATTAAGACAGGGATGGCAGTTTGGACGACCATTTCTGAAATATTTCTTTGGGGATATGATTCTTCCTTTTATCAGCAGGACGATGGACAATCTTGTATAGTGAAGTCTGAAGTTAGTGGAAAGCTTCCTGTGTTGGTAAATAATAAGTGGTCCATCTTGCCATGGCGGGGTAATCTGTATTACCTGGTTAAATGTTTTCGGTCCACTAAATTTGTGTTTTAATACTGTAAAATGCAAGCTAGTGCATTAGGGAGCACAGTAGTACAGGCCATGCCAATATGATGGAAGACTGTCCTGTAAAACTGTGTCTTTGGAATGGATGTAAGGGTCAAGTAATTGCTTCGAGATGAACTACCAATGCAGACTGTGCCTAAAAGTCTGATAGGAAATGGTTCATTCTTGATTGCTTCCTTGAGGAAGCCTTTTTGAAAGCCTTGCTTGCCTTTGTGACCAGCTGAGAATGCACTTCTGGAAGGCTGATCTGTGTTTCATCACTGTGAGACCATGAGCTCTTTGGTCAAGTCCTCTTCAACAGATCCCAGTTTGCAAAACACTGCACAGGTTCATTGCATGAAAAATATGATTCAGACACTGTTTGTCAGATACTAGGTTAATAATCAAATATTTATAGCTTCAGCTGAAAAAAAGCAGAAAAGTCCTAAACACCAACCAAGTTCACAAAAGGACCTGTCTCCTCCTCTGCCTGTGACATCTGAGTCTGCTTTTTCCACAACTACTTTTTCTCACTAAGGCCATTAAGAATGATGTGATGTCAATACAAAAAAAATAAGCTGCACCTTGACATGTTTCACTACAATTCATGGTCATGTGTTCTTTTAGATGCCAGAATTCCATGCTTGTAGACCCTCTAAGAGTGAACCACAGTAAAATTGTCCACAGGGGCAAGCATTCACCCATGTGAACCCAATTATGTGAATAAGTCCTATCTTCTCTTACTGCAACAGAAGAGAATTAGATTGTGGTCTGTCAATCGAGTTTTAAATGTGCTTATACTTACAATCCAAAAAAAAAAACCCAAAATTCCTTCCTGTTTGTAATTTTCTTTCTAAAGTTGCTTAGGGTTTCAGATGGTAAGAACCGCTAACCTACTTTTGCAGAGAAAACGACATTTCCTACTTAAAAAGGTAGAGTAAAATGGTATTACATTAGTAGGAGTAGGTTTTCAAAAGCCGGAACATTTATCTGCATGCTCTGAAGTCTGCAGACAGCTGAGTGAGTCTCCTTATCCATCCTGGTGTGGATAAGGATGCAGATATGTGTGTGTGTGTGCTACACACATGCATGGACTCAGTGTCCAGACACTAATGCAAGAACTTGCCTACCCTACTCTCCTTACTGGCATTGAATGTTCTTACTTGGGCTGTGAGAACATCGGAATATAAATAAATTTTATGTCTCTCTGAACTGCCCTCAGTGAGCTGTTTCTGTCAACTGATCACCATTCTTGGATTTTGGACTTAATCCTCCGCCCATTCCTCAGTGTGTTGTTTATGGCTGGACTCTAAATGTTGCTTGGCATCAGAACATATTCCTCTGGTGTACACACCTCAGAGACAGTCCCAAGAAAATACATTACTTGAATGCTATGGTCACGTTCCTGGTGTAACAGCCAGTCACAAATGAGGTGGGGCTCAGGTGGCCACTGTGAGTCCTGCACGTGCAGGGGAGACCTGCCAGTTTGTTTAAATGAAGGTTCAAATGCCAGAAAGCAATGGAGGTGGATGACACTGTCAAGCTGCCTCACAGATGTTTGGCTTTCTACATCACCTCCGCTATTCCCAGAGACCAGAGACCTTTGATCAACCCCTCTTCTGAGCAACCCAAAGCAGTCCCTACAGCTGCACTTCTGAATGACCACAGGAATACATCAACTGCCTCCATTTTTGGAAATGATATTATGGAAATTATTCTGGCTTGAGAGAAGGACTGGTGAGGGAATCCTTGCAGTTCTTGCACTAATTTGCATTGACCACTAAACTATCAAGCAGCAGTTCCTTGTTTCCAAGGATTGATTTCTTTCCAGTTAAAAAAGATTAAGTATTGAAGCTATTAATATTAAAATGTCACTTCTGACAATTACATATAAACCTGGAGATTCATTGTTTTCCACAGCATTTACATAGTCAAAAATGCTGAAAGTTCTTGGTCCAAAACTCATTGTATGTAACCTCTGTTTTTCCTGTTGATACAGGAAGAGGTTATCACTTCCTTCAGGGTATGTTGAGTGCAAGGCTGAAACATGCAGAGCTGTGGAATATCCCAGAAATCCATCTACACTTGGATTTTCCTGTAGTTTCAGTGGTGATGTCTAAGTTATGCCACCTGAACCTTCCAGATAAATCCTGCATTACTCTGTGCCTTAGTTACAACCCATAATCCTACACAGCATAGCCCCGAGTGTTTAAAGTTTGTCTCACTGAACCCATAAGTGTAACAAATTTCAGATTAACAGGTCATCCAGTCCCTTTCCTTGCCCCTGAAAAGCCTGGCCTTTACCATCCCTATAATCCTTGTTTTGAATCAAAACTCCCCTAGTAATAGATCTCTCGAGACTTCTGAAAAACCACTGAATGACCCAATGGTTATAGGTATGTATTTGCAGTTCTGTGACTGCTGCAAACCTCTCGAGCTTAGGGCTGTTGCTCATTATTTGTCTGTGTTCTACATGGTCCATGGGGGTGTGGTTCTGCTATGAATATTCTGCTCTTTCACTCCAGTGCCTCGACTACAGCAGCGGAGCCCTGACTGGGGACCTCTGTGAAGACCTGTGTGTGGCACAGAAGCTGGTGTACAAACACTGCCTTTACTATGACAGAGGTAAGAAGGTCATTCAGGCTGATTGGAGAGGCCAGCCCATCATACTGAAATCCAAAAAAGAAATCTTTTCCAGCTACCAGCACCTCAGTATGCTAGAGGAGGTGGAAACACAGGATATCCCTGAAACAGAGCTTCTGCTTATGGTAGCTTTGGAGGTCAAAAATGCCCTGGGGCTAGAACTGTCTAACAATACCATGGGGCCCCTGTGGACAAGGAAGAAGGGACCACGTTGGAAAGCACAGGTGGCCAGCATGTGGTCCTTGCTCCAGCAGGAAGAATATATCTACTTCAGTTTGCTGCAGGACTTCAGCAAACATGTGCTACGAATTATTGGCTCTTGTGGACACTTTTATGCTGTGGAGTATCTCACAGCTGGACATGCCTGGCACAAAACTCTCTTTCCCTTGGAAAACGTGATCGGCCCCTCCCTTACTGGACACAGAAGCAGGGTGAGAGCCATCATTGACATTGCACTCAGCTTTCTGGACATGGTGCAGCATTTTGATAATGATTTCTCTCACCGACTTCACCTGTGTGACATCAAACCAGAAAACTTCGCTATCAGGCATGATCTCACGGTAAGTTAGGCCTCTGGGGTGGTGTTCCAGGAATTTGAGGTCAAATTCTAGTCCGGAGGTGACTGTGTAAAAATGACACTTCCTTCCTTGTACAGTTTTTGGCTAAGTTTTTGCAAAGCCAATGAATTTACAAGCATCAGAGGAGATTCTCTCTTGCTTCTCCTCTTTGTAATGTGTACAGCCACATTTTTGGAACACTAAATCCCACTGCTTATTTTGAAAACTTCTTGCTCGCTTCTGTTTAGTTTCACTTCTTTAAAGGCACTGGTGCAAGGTCCCTCGAATGTGGTGGGGGACACCTCCTGGAGGCAAGGGGATTTCAGAAGCTCTAAATGAAGCTGTAATTTGAGTCATATTTCTGGTAGTGATGCTGAAATGAAAAAAAAGTATGAATTTGAAAGCTAAGGCTGAATTCATGGTCTGACACAAGGGGAACTCCCCACATCCAAACATGCATATTTGTGCTTCAGTGGTCAGTTTATCTGGTCTGGAAACTATGCAGGGACAGCAACATGGAACTCTCTGCTATTGTCATTCTTTGACTTTTCATTGTGCAGCTGAAACTCGGACCTTATAGCTATGTATATTTTCTAAGCACTAGTGCAGCTCACATTCCTTCTGTGGACAGAAATTCCTCTGGTTTTGGTCGGAATTTTGTCTACAGATTGGGGGTACTGTGCAGTGAGTAAGTGTTTGAACTAGGCTCTCAATTTGTAGTGTCATCAGGGGAGTTTCTTCTCTCTGAGTATAAAACATTTTCAGGGACTTCAAAACTGTTTTTAGTACTCACTGAGTGTTAATGTAACACTTGTATCTTCAGAGTACTAGACAAACACTACCTAAACATACAGCCATTAAGAGCAATTAGAGTGTTTCCCCTTCACCCTCCCCTCCCCTCCCCTCTCCTCTGCTCCCATTGTTTATTCAGGTGCAATACAGCAGCTGAACAGGGAACGGGTGAGGAGCTACAGCAAGAAACTAAAGCAAGCTGTACCACTATTTAGGCAAAGCAGGAATTCCTCAAGGCAGGCTTTGCCCATCTTCCTCAGTTACTCAGGGCTGTGGCTGCCTGTGGCTGAGCACACGCCAGAGCATCTGTTTCACAACCTACTTACAGGAAAATAGATTCCATTTAGGGAAAGGGGATGAATACCGGATGTGTCTTCGCTTATGAGTCCTTTTTAGTGAGGCTTGCTTTGCCAGGATCTTCCAGTCACCAGTTCCAGAATGGGAACACAGCAGTGCAGCCTCTTTTTAGTCCTTGTATTAAGTCCTTTGTATTAAGCAATTTTATCACTTGCTGGTTTCTGGTATAGGATAATAAAAAGCATGTGGTACATGTTTGTACCACTATTCCTCATTTGAGTAATGAGACTTCTAATGCCCAAAGAAATGTGCCTGGAATGCAATAGTTTTACTTTGAGGATTATTTTCATGTCATGGGGATAAGTCTCCAGCCTTCATGTGCTCTCCTGCAGCACAGAGAAGAGCTGTCTAGTAGATCATCCAGGAGAATTTTAAGCTGCCATGGAGTCACATAAGATACAGAGCTAGAAGGAGGTTTGGGTGAATGCACAGTGCTCTGTGAGAGCTTCCTCGTTTGCCAGTAATTCAGAGAAAACTGTAAAGATTACAGCACATTAAACATGATTTTAAATCAGGTCATGAGCCAAGCTGGGTTCTTCCTGTATTTCCTTAGGTATTTTTTCATCAACTATAATCATAGCAAAGCCCACCGAAACGCAGATGTTGATAGGCAGAGTGTCACCCAGATGTGTCTTCACAGCTGGATATCCACACATTTTTGTAAAAGATGAACTTCAGTGAAGCCACTGAACCCTTCGGCAGCCACGTATTTGGGAACTAGGGCTGATTTTCCTAGTGGAGTAATGGATCAGATTGTTAAACATGCTGGCAAACATGCTCCCTACCTGGGAGGTGAAACAGTGACGCTGGAACTGGGGAAACCCTGCACTAGTCTCACTCTCTCTTCTCCAAAAAACTGATCAGCAAAAACACAGAAAGCTTAAGGAAGTAAAGAACAAAAAAAAAAAAACCCAAACCCAAAACAAACAAAAACAAACAAGCAAAAAAAAGCTTTGCCTGTCCAAACATGTAAAATTCTTTAGGCTACATCATTGTAATAGAGCTCTCCAAAATGCTTAAAAATGCTTATGTTTTTAAGATATGCCTCATCTCTGTGAGATCTTTCCCTATGGAAAAAGAACAAAATGAAGACTAGAACATGTTCTTTATTTTGCCTGTGGAAGGTTTATTTGGCCTTCTACCAAACCAGACATCTTTAGTTCCTGGGATTGATCCAGCTGCTGTTCCAGTCACACAGTTCATCTTCTCCTGTTACTTGGGAGGTTGAATCTGAAAAATAAAACTATAATTTGAGCCCAAAGTAACTCTGCTTTGCCCAGGTCCCAGACATGAAAATATGTGTCAGATGCTGCAAGAGAACATCCCTGATCCTGAGTGTCAAGTATGAAAGGCAGCTGTGAACATTCACTGGCTGCACATCCATGGTGTTGGAGACAGTCTTCCTTCCCTGTGGTCACCCACAGCTTGGCTCACATCAGGGAGCTGCCAGCCCCGTACTGGATTCCTTTCTTTCCCTCTTCATTGCTGCGATTTCTTTAAGTGAAGCATTCATGGGTGGCACAGCACTGGCAGAAACTGAGACCACAGCCCTTCGCTTCCAGAGAGGTCTCAGCCCCAGCATGGGCAGTTTCTGCAAAAACTTTGTGCTGCATACACACTGCTCTGAGAGCCTCGTGCCAGGGGAAGGAAAGTGACTGACCCCTTTGACTCAGGTTTTTTCTGCTGTGACCAACTTCTGTCTGGACTTTGTTACAGGACATGTTTCTGCACCATAAGGGCAAGGACTGTGCACAATAAATGTGTCAAACCATAGCAAAGAAGACTGGATAAAGCCAGATCCAGCTTTCAGAAAAGTCAGGGATCTCCTTCTACAGCTGAGCAGGCTCAAACCCACAGAATGCAAGGAGAGGTTTGCAGGAGCTGTACCAGGTACAGCTGTCCTCACACATCCCACTGCTGCTCTCCACAGTGGCAAAGTCTGGGTGGAACTGAATGCTGAGTTCTAAGTGATACTGTCTGGCCCATGGGTAATTATGCACCATCATGTAATTGGGAGGCTGAGGTGTCATCTGCATATGCTGCACCAGCAAGTAAATCAGACTTCAGACTGGATCGCTCCACTTTGAGGCAAATCAATCCAATTGACCCCAGGGATGCATATTGTTCACAAATCATTTTTCCATTCTTGATATCACAAGCATTAGCTGCTTTTGTTTAAAAAGTGTTGTTTATAAGGTTAGTGTGACTCAGTTAAGTAAATAAAGCCCCTGTGCTCCCAGTTCCCCACCAGCAGATGCTCTCAGCACAGCATTTCCAAAAGCAAGCAGCAAAGAATGCCTGCTCAGCCCTGTCCCGGCGGCTCTGCTGTGCCAGATCTGATGGGATGTTTTGATTCACAGGTGGTGGCCATTGATGTGGATATGGCCTTTTTTGAACCCAAAATGAGGGACATCCTGGAACAGAAGTGCACAGGAGATGAAGATTGTAATTTCTTTGATTGCTTTTCAAAATGCAATCTGAAAATCAGAAAATGTGGAGCACAGAGAGCCAATAACAACTTGCAAGTGAGTAGACACAGCTGTTTCATGCATCCATTCCTTTTAAAATCACACTGACTATGAAGTGCAAGGTATGTATGAGGAGACTGAGAGATGAAGACAGTCATGTTTTTAAACTTGTCCATGTAAATGTCAGTCCTGTTCAGAAATTTCAGCTTGGGGCACACAAGCAGATCTTTACATTCACTATATATAGTGTTTATTTGCCCTGTTTTTCTCTAGGTGTTAGCCCAGTGCCACAGACAGGCGAGCAGAACAAGCAGGGGCAGGGGATTAGCACTTCTGTCTCCACTGATGGTAAAGTCATATCCTTGAGTTGCACTTCAAATCCTGTGTTCATTTCTGGGCCCCTCACTTCAACAAAGACATTGAGATGCTGGAGAATGTCCAGAGAAGGGCAACAGAGCTGATGAAGGGTCTGGAGCACAAGTCTTGTAAGAGTGGCTGAGGGAGCTGGAAATGTTTAGGATGGAAAAAAGGAGGCTCAGGGACATCTTACTGCTCTCTATAACTACCTGAAAGGAGGTTGTGGTGAGGTGGGTGTTGGACTCCCAAGTAACAAGTTTCAGGACAACACAAAATGACACCAAGTTTCACCAGGAAGGGTTTACGTTGAATATGAAGAAAAATTCCTGAAAGGATAGCCAAGCATTAGAACAGGCTACCTAGGAAAGTGGTGGAATCACTATCCCTATAAGTGTTAAAAAAACTTGTAGATGTGGCACTTGGGGACATGGTTTAGAGATGGACTTGGAAGTGCTACATTGACACTTGGATTCAATGATCTCAGAGGTCTTTTCCAATCTTAGTGATTCTATGATTCTGTGAAAGCTGAGGCTGTCCAAATGTAAGCAGCGGTTGTGATTCCCCACTCTACAGATGTGGTGTATGGGTGTAGTGGAAAGGGGTGTCCATGGGGTTCTTGGATTTGGGATGAGGTGTCTTACAGCTCACCCAGCTTGTGCTGGTGGGAGGCAGTGGCAACAGAGAGGCTGTGGGGGTGTAGCTTGTTGGCCTTTTGCCTGCTTCTCCCACCCCCTTACCCTCACCACTTGTTATGCAGAATCATAGAATTGTTTTGGTTGGAAAAGCCCTTTAAGATCATCAAATCAAGCCATTAACCCAGCACTGCCAAGTCTACCACCAGATCACATCTCTAGTGCCACATCTATACATCTTTTAAATATTGCAGGCATAGTGACTCATCTAATTCCCTGGGCAGCTGGTTCCAGTGCTTGAAAACCATTTTGGTAAAGAAATTTTTCCTAATACCCAATCTGAACCTCCCCTGGAACAACTTGAGATCATTTCCCCTTGTACTGCTTGTCACTTGGGAGCAGCTGCTGTTCCTCACCTGGCACTTTATAGAGGGCAATAAGGTCCTCCCTCACCATCCTCTTCCCTGGACAACCTCAGCTCTCCCAGTCACTCATAAGATGTGGGAAGTGCAGGAGCAGCCTGAGAAAAGGGCTGTCCCTTAGCTAGAGTGTATGCTCCTTTTCTGTACCTCCTCCTTTGAATGGCTAAAGGCATTTTGGACTCAGACGACATTTTGCTTCAGTCCCAGGGAAGCAGCAGGGCATTAGTCATAGCTACTGAAACACAACAATCTGCTCTTTTTCCTTTCCCCAGGTAATTTGTGACAAAATATTTCGTCGCTGGTTTTCCCCAAATCTCAGAGGACCACTGGTTTCCCTGCCCCTGCAGCTGCAGCTGCAGAAAGCCGTGCAGGAGTGTGCTCAGCCGGGGCACACGGGTGCCACCGGGCACCAGAGGACTCTGAAATCACTCTCTGAGTTGTACCACCTGCTTCGGGTCACTCAGCAAGAGCTGCAAAGGGTGGAGTAGACACAAAAGGCAGAACTGCAAAGGCCACATCCCAGTCTCTCTGCCACCCTTCCTAACCCTGTACTTTTACAGCACAGAGATTGCTTTTCTGCTATGCAAATGAAGTTCACGGCTGCAGGTGCAGCAGGTCCTGATAATATCCTATCAAGTGTTAAATTGCTTTACATTACTTGGATTCCGTTCTTGCTTATTTTCCTGAGCCGGCACTACCCCTCTCCATCAGCATTCAGCACATCCTTCTGAGCTGTAGTCACTGCTCAGATAACATCTGTCTGAGTGTGGAGCTCAGAGGATGCATTTATAGAAGAAAAGTGCAAGTGCAGCAAAACTCTATCAATAATTAAAATGGGCAAATAAGTATATGTATGGTGTTTGTTTTAGTTTCTCTGTCAAATTAGGGGAATTTTTACAGTAGAGAAAGAGCATTCTGTGTGAAAAAAAAATAAGATAAAAGGGGATCTCAAACAGGGAAATGTGCTGTCACACAAGGAAAGAGTTGCTTTTGTAAAAAGCTGTCCTTTTTGATGTCCCCAAATGCATTTTCTCCGGGACATTGCATTACCTATGCCATTGCTAACTCTTTTGGGGAAAAATTATATAAAGGTACTTTGGACTTTTCTAGAGCAAAATAATTATACCCTTGCTGAGCTCCCATGTGGGTACTTATATTCTGCAGTGAAGAGGTATGAATAATGCTACTGGATTTTCCCATGTGAACAAGCCCTCAGGCACTTGTACATCAGAGCACTTGATAAGAAGCACTCCTTTGCCAGAGAGCAGAATTGCCCAGGAATGTCAACAATCTGTCCTTTGCACAGAACAATATCCAGACCTAGTTTTCTTCCACAGTATTTTTTTAATGAACAGAAGGAAAATTTTTTTGTACAAATTCATTATCTTGCAATCAGTTATGTAAATAAAGATCTCAAGATTAACTTAAAAACCTTAACTTTGCTTTTCAAATGTACAGAGCTGTGGCTGGAGAAAATAACATGGGCTCAGGAGACACTACAAATGCGTAGGACCAATAATAGGCAATGTCCCCGTGATCTGGTTTTGGCATGAGGACATTACAAACAGGAATCCCAGCAGCCTATGGCAGCCCTCAGCTTCGAGCAATCAATGTTAAGACCAGCAATACTGGTTCATGGTTGTGAGACAAGTAACAGCACTTAATCTGCTCCATCTTTATGTCCCTCAGCCTTATGACAGCTGTGAACCCTGTGAGTGCTGATTAGACATAAACTTTCCATTTCCATGGAGTGGTTCTTTAAAGTAAAGCTAAAGACTGCCTGTAACCAGAAAAATGGGAGCTGTTTAAGAGACCTTGACCCCTTAAAACCTAGCTCAAATTTTAAGACTGATGCTTGTGAATTTTTATATATATTTCTTGCAATAAACTATCATATTTTTAAAAATCATTCAAGCCCTCAAGAAACTCATAGCAAGAACAGTCAGCTGCCTTGCCTGGGGCTGGACAACCTGCTGCTAAACTGGAGCTCCAGCTTAGGAGCTCCTCACTGGTAAAGTTGCTCTCAGTTCACACTTCTCCTTTAACCAGGCAGGCAAAGAATGTTTCAATACTTTAAGATCATTCTTTGCAAAAGCAGGAAGGCAAAGCAGAATAAGAAGAAACACGAATTTCAGAACTAGCCCTGTTACAAAGTCATGACATAGCTGGAGAGAATAATTAAGGACAGAATCAGATTGTGGCAAAGAAGCATGTATAGGTAAAGTACCAGTTAGACAGAAGACAAGGAAAGAGAGATGAAGGAAAAATAGAAAAAAAAGGAAGCAAAAAATATGTCAGCCTTTGTAGAAACATGATTTATGATGCAAGATTCAATAAAGTGGCATTTAGTCTGAGGAAGAAGAGACTGAAGATAAACATGATAACTCTCTTCAAAAACAGAAAGAGGTTGATAAAAAAAGAATAGGAGAGAACTGCCCTGTCCAGATTTCCTTGGTGGATATGACCAGCAATGAGCTTAAACTGTAGCAAGGAAGAAAACGGGTAAGACATTTGCTAAAGGCTTTCTGATAGTAAGGAACAGTGAAAACATGGCACAAATCATCTGGGAAATCTTTGGACTTCACAAATTGTGTTTTTTAACTACAGGCAAGAGTGAGTGCCTGTCAGGAATTACGTACATGAAGTTGATGGATGCTGCCTTAAGGTAACCTTTTATGTCCAAGTCATGTGCTTATGTTATCACCAGTTAGCATTCGTGCTCTTGTGACTCCCTCACAACAAATCCCCACTTCTGAGACTCAAGAATACATATCTCTCCCTTATTTTATTTATGCAAATCTGTGGGCTGTGAAGGGAAGGCATATAGACCTTGAGCTGTGCAAATGATGCTACAGAGCCTGCTGGTGTGAGCCTGTCTCCCTCACACAACATTCCTGCTGATGGCACTGATCCTTGCTAGGTCAGGAGGGACTCAATATATATTCTAAGTGTTGCTGGGGAACCTGAAGATATTATATATTGTTGTGCTCCTGTTTTCCTGTCCCATTCTTTCCTCCTTCCCAAGCTCAGAGGGTGCCTTCAGGGAAAAGCAGCCATCACACAAACCCTTGGTGCTTTGCTGCAGAGTCATGCTCCCCCCATGGCAGGGCTCCCCTTCCCATTTCCAGGTTTGCATTTCAGACAGGATAAATTTCTCTTGGGTGGGATATTCCACTTTTAAAACGGGTGGAAAAAAATAGTGAAATGAAAACTGGTGGCAGCCAAATGCTGGTGGAATGTGACTCTGCTCAGAAGATCTTTTTTCCTCGGCAGGGTATAGGAAGGGAAGCTGCCTTTGACAGATTGCTCCAACCCCCTCAGGGCCTGGCTGCAGCCACCTCCACCTGGCAGGGACCTCCTTCCCCCACACCACACTTTCCCAGGACATTAGGTTTCACTTCTTTTCAGGATACAGAGAATAATCCTCAGAAACCTCTCAAGATCAACACAATTGGGTTATTTGTCCTTGGCTGGGCTGTGAGATTACATATCACTGATGCAGCCAGCTCCAGACAGGTTTTGGTGCACACCTTCAAGGAGGCAAGGAGGATCTGACAGGCTCTGTGAACACAGGGCTTGATTTTTCATGGCCCTCCGTGTGCTTTGTAAAGTCACTAAATCCTGGGAAACAGGAGAGAAAGTGGAGCAAATGAAATATAATTTAATTAGTGCAGGTAGCAATGACCAAAACAGGAATAAAACAGTAATTGTGCCTTTATCTCCCTGGAACAGAAAGAAAAAGTTAAGGCACTGGTTTAGTTGCCATTTACCTTAAGGAGACAAGTGCAAATTGCTGTAATTTGAGCTTGTATGATTTTAAAACCACATTTTTGGTGAAAATATCTATTTTTTTGGATGCAAAAATCTATATAGGTGTTTGACAGGAAGAACCAGATCTGGTGCTCCTTTCTGACGAAGCCCCTTTCATGCTGCCCTGGCAGCACTGCCCACCCCTCTTTGGTAGTTAGTGCACCGTAGCTTTTCAAAGACAGAGTAAGATTCTTCCCACTGCTCATCCCTTCCATATGAAAGATGACTTCCATGGGTTCACTAATAACATTTGGTTGCACTGGCAACAGCCACTTTAGTCCAAGATGTCTGGTCCTATTCAATTGATCTCAGCCCCATCCCTTTGCTCTGTCAATCTGTTCCCATATCCTTTTTGCCCTATAAAAGTGGCATTACCTCCTGATTAATTTCTAACACTTGCTGAATTAGTGCCTTAGTCAGCAACTTCTACCCCATATTTATGGCTCCCTGTGAAACAGGAATGCCATTAAGTCATTGTTTATTCATTCTTTGCATCTCAGTTAGCAGCATGTGCTTCAGCTCTGCAATAATCCAAATACACTGCCTGTTTCCACATTTTGCAAGAGGTGAGTCCAGTTGGAGGTCTGCTTCATCTTTAGGGAAATCTTTAGGAAAGATAAATTCAACCCAGTGCTCAAGATTTTCTCAGAACTACTCATTTTCTCCAACTGGCATTTTATGCTCTGCAAAAAACATCTGCAAGCAATAGTCCTGCACTAAGATGATATAAAACAGAGCAGAACTCCTTGCCCCAAAGGGTTTATGTGGTCCCCCTTGTGTTTCTAGGTTGACTAGCCCAGAAAAGCAGGTCATTGCTGTAGCCAGAGTTGTTCTTACAGATACCACTACTCCCTAATGTGACTTCCAAGACTCCCCTTCACCGAGAGCATTCAGATACATTGCTGGAGGCAGCACTAGAGATAACAACAGATATTTGGGACCAGGAGAGAAGAGAGGGAAGGGTTTGCTTTTTTTTTTATTAGAAATGTTGCCTGAGCAACACATTTCCTAAAGGTGAAAAATAGGATCACATACTCAAAGAAGTTAGGAACTACTCACTGATATTTTTTTTTTTTTTACTTTGTTATAAAGTGTAGACCCAAGCTGGCCTATTTATTTTTGTGTAGATAAAAAAAAAATTAAAAAATAATAAAGAAGCCATGTACCAGGTTGCCTGTCTTTCAGCAGATCATATTGTCATATGCAATGGCCATGAAGGTGATAAATTGAAGCTTTTAATGAGTGTTGGGCTGTAAGATAGGAGCCTTGTAGTTGTGATGTCAGTCTATGCATATGGACAGACAACTATAAAACAAACCCAGAACCTGTATCAGTGGATGCAAACAACCAGATTAGCTATTTTGGCAGATGTCCTCTGAAGCCTAGTACAAATGAAAAATGAAATCCCTCTCTCTGGACCACCTGTAGTGAGTCCACACAATAAGCAGAGTCACTCTGCAGGAGCCTCAGTCACTGCCACTTTCCTGGATCCTCAGAGAAATCAGGAGAAAGGCAACTGGGCTTTCAGTAGCAAAAATAGACAGCAACATGTAGCGAGGGAAAGAATGAGATGCTTGGAAGAATGAAAATCCAGGACAACTGAACTCAGAACCAAAGAGATAAGTGACTCCATACTGAAAAATCAGAGAATGTCAATGAATTGATTGGGAAAAAAATATCACAAAAATTCCATTGTAGCTCTTTAAAATAAAAAGAGCACAGTAGCACAGGCAATATAGTGCAGCCATCACCTAAGCCATTTGTTGTATGTGTCTAAGGATCTGTGAAATAGAGTGTGGAGCTGTATAATGACATCTGCAGCCCAAAGGCTAGACAGAATATAATCACTTAGAAAAAGCTTTTAGAACTACTATTTACATAAATGCATAAAACTGTCCTAATTAGCAACAAACAACGTCAGCCAAAAAGAGAGAAAGGAGCATTTTTCTTACTAAAAGTGTTATTATGTCTATAAATTAAAGTAGGGCAAAATGCTGAAATCCCTGAAAGGCTACAATCCATAATCCTGTGGGTTAAGTTTTGATCTTGCAGGCTTGGGCCCCAGAGCAGCAGAGAGACTGCTGGGCTCTTTTAAACACCATGATTCTTGGTGCCTTCTGCAGTGTACTCTGAGCTCCTTCTCCTGTAAACTGGAGGGGATTTTTCCTGCCCTACAAAATGTACCTAAGTGATGTTGGCAGCCAGAAGGATGTGCGTATGATCCAGTGCATAATCACTTCCACAAGCATCTGCTGCTAGTGCTTTCAAGATACATGTAATCCAAGCTGGAGACTATTGTGAACACCTCTCATTTTCCCTTGCTGGTTCCTT